CTCTGCATAGAGACCCTGGACTTCCTTGGTGGTCTCCCATCCAAACATTAACCGGGGCCAGCCCGGCTTAGCTTCTGAAAGCGGACGAGGTCAGGCTCGCCCGTGATATCCAGGTCAGGACCCTACAAATGCAGGGGGAAGTGATTTGTTGAAGTGGTTTTGCAGTTAACTTTAATGGAGCTTCCTGCGTTCAGCGCTTGAGCGCTTGAGGATTTAAATTAAAAGTCTGTTGTTGTAACACCGAGGAGGATGAAGCGATGTGTGGTTTGCTCTCTCCGTCAAATGGGCACCTGCAAAAATTGGGGAGGCCAAGGGAAGAGAGTCCCTGGCTCCTCTGCTTTGCCCCGCCCTCTTGGAGGCTCCTCCCCATTGGCCCCGACTCCCCTCCGTCTCTTGACCTGGATAGTCCAAAATAGCCTGATCTCGCCAGATCTCAGAAGCTAAGCAGGGTCGGCCCTGGTCAGTATTTGGATGGGAGACCTCCAGAGGAATACCAGGGTCGTAACGTGGAGGCAGGCCATGCCGAACCACCTCTGAACGTCTCTTGTGTTTGTTTTTTTGTGTGTAAATATATTTTATTAATTTTAAACTTTATAAATACAATAAACAGTAATTCTTGAAACATCAATACAATAAGAAACGTTAATTTTTATATCTTTTACATCGTTTGAAACAAAGAATGTAAGTCTATTATAAATTTGAGGTATCTTCTGGTATTCTCTGAACGTCTCTTGCTTTGAAAACCCATGAGGGTTGATTGTTTTTTTAACTACGGCTGCAAGAATTCTCTATGCAAAATATTGGAAATTACCGGAGATACCAACAAAACGAGAACTAGTAAATAAAATCTTGGAGGCTGCGGAATTGGATAAATTGACTTTATTGATAAAAGGCGCAACAGATTCGACATTCCAGAATACTTGGTCACGGTTTTATAATTGGTATGATAAATATATGTCGGCAAGCTTGCAAGAGAGAGACTAAGAGTTTACTAAATGAAATAGATACCTGTTAGGATGATAGAGACAGAAAAGTTGCTTACACAGTTCATGAGAAATTGTTATTAAGGTGGAATAGGCACCAGTATAAATATTGGTAAAAATTGAAAATAACCTCCGTGTATCTGTTTGTACTGTTTGCATGTATGTATATGTTATGATTGTTTGTGTATGTTATGTGGAAAATGTAATAAAACCCTGCCCCTTTGGGGGCAGTTAAAAAAAAAAAGAAATAAACATTGACCTTAGAAGAGCACTGAACTGCTTGATTAGGGTTGCACCCACTGAGATAGTTAGCACTGGAAAACTGTCCTGGAATTAAAGATACAATTGTGGAATCTCTCCTTATATATAATTGTGAAGTGGGGTGGCATTTTCTGAACATTCCACACACTCCTAAATCAGTGGGCTCCATGATGTGTCACTCAGAAGCTGTCCCTAGCCACTGGCTGCATTGCCTGAGTCCCGCCCACAGACAGTCAGAACACAGAGGTCATTTGTATATGCAGCCTGACTGGCCCTCATCTCCAACATTCTAAATAGTTTGCTATTGCTCTTGGGAGTCACTGAATGTGTCCTGAGGTAAAATACATCTCCCAAACTTCCCTTAAACATTCACTGGGGTTGCCAATCTCTCTGTGGGGTCTGG